TATATATGTATATGTATATATATGTGTATATATATGTATATGTATATGTGTATATATATGTATATGTATATGTGTATATATATGTATATGTATATGTGTATATATATGTGTATATGTATGTGTATATATATGTGTATATGTATGTGTATATATATGTGTATATGTATATGTATATATATGTATATGTATATGTATATGTATATATATGTATATGTATATGTATATATATGTATATGTATATGTATATGTATATATATGTATATATATATGTATATGTATATATATATGTATATATATGTATATGTATATGTATATATATGTATATGTATATGTATGTATATATGTATATGTATATGTATGTATATGTGTATATGTATATGTATGTATATATGTATATATATGTATATGTATGTATATATGTATATATATGTATATGTATATATATATGTATATATATGTATATATATATATGTATATATATATGTATATGTATATACACACAAATTGATTACGCAGTTCTCTGTGCTGTGTCACGTGTTCTGATGATTCATTCCATCTGCAGGTTCAGCACTGCCTGCAGTCCACACAGCCTGTCGCTGCAGCTCGGCTGCCCTACAGAGTGAAGGTGTCTGCTGGGAAACGTTACGCCTGGTGTGCTTGTGGACACAGTAAGAAACAGGTGAGTAAGTATGGCGTCTTAGGGTTCAACTTTCAGAAGCGCCTGGGCTAAAAGCAGGAAGCCGGTCATGTAGCGTCACAGCTCATTTACTGCTGTCTATGTCGTGTTTACATTCCCACCAGTTTGAAAGAGGCCTTCTGTGAGGCAGTTTGCTGGTGGAGACTTAAATTTCCTCTTTTGACTGACCACAATATAACAATAAACATCACAAACTGATAGCTGAGGTCATTTTTTTACATTTTCACACATCACTTCAAACTAGTCTGATGTGTCCAGTAATGTAAAGTATAGGGCCTAACTAGATTAACTTCATTAATATATATATATTTATTAGGCAATTCTTATCTCTTCTCAGATCGAGACAACGGTTTGGATTTTAGTGACCATTTGACTTTATTACCCAGAATTCCTGGTTAATATAACACATACGATCGGTATGAACAGCCAACAGGGTTGTAAGTTTTTTGTTTGTTTTTTCATTTTGGACTTGTCATAGCATGAAAAGCACAGGTGTAACCACTCACGTTATCAATGGTCTTGTTCTATTTACTTTTCTCAGTTTGGAGAAACGGACAGGAGTACCAGCACGGGATCAAAGCAATGTACTGCCATGGACAACACATTTTAGCCACCTAATAAAAGTGTACACTATATGTAGAATACTTTCACCACTTTACGGTTCCGTCAGACAGCCTATTCTGACGGGCAACTGAAGCAGTCATCTACGCTCCTGTCAAATTGATAAAAGCAGTAATTTAACCACACAGGTGGGCCTATTTTCAGGTGTCTATAATCCATTTTGCTGCTGCCCCCGTCCTTATCAGTATATTGCTTTGCTTCTGCGCTGCTACTCCTGCCTGTTTTCCCAAACTGGGGGCATTCTGGTCGTCATCTGCTCTAGGTAATACACTGACTATGTATAAGTACCTCATACAACCCCCCTGTAACTGACGCACCTAAATTAGTTAACATTACAATAGAATAAAACTTCAAAATGGCCACGAGGATACTAAATGAAGTCATTACCTGAGACTGATTTTTACAGTCCTCCCACCTTTTTTCTATTTCTGTCAGCCTTTCTGTGACGGCGCTCACAAGTCAAAAGCTCCAAGTGTCTCTCCTCTGCGCTTCACCCCTGACAAAGACAGGACGGTCATGCTGTGTGCCTGTAAGCAAACCAAAGGCGCACCATACTGTGACGGCTCACACTTCAAGGTCATCTTCCAGGATTTAGTGAAGTCGATGAAAGGCGTCTTTAAATGAACAGCATTCAGAATGTCTGCCCTGGGAGCTCAAAGGGCAGTAAATGTAAGAGAAATAGTGTCATTGTGTCCTCTTCATACTTGTCAGACTGATATTTTTGTCTGTATGAATTACATTGGTTTTTTTTTTATATATTTATTTTAACACAATGTTGTATACCCATTAAAACATGCCTGAAAAAAACGAATGTGTTGTGACGATGAATGGTTTTTTTAAATGCTTATTTAATTAAGTACTAAAGTATCCAGCTGCAGCGGCTGTTCGTTCTGGTCTTCAAATAGGTTATTTATCACATGGGTTCCTCTGAACAGTTGTCCAAGGATGTCAGAATTAAGATAGTTCACTTCCACCAACAAGCAGAAGGCTACAAAAAACATTTCAAACTACCTATTTCAACTGTCTGAAACAATATCAGACAACTGGATAACTGGAACAGTTGAAGTCAGGGCAAGATGTGGAAGACCAACAAAGATATCAGGGCAACAAAGACCTGCACAGAGCTGCATAGGTTAAAATAAGAACGTATCTGTTATGCCAATTGTGGGTTGTGTTCATTCAAGGTTAATTTATTGTCATGTTACATAAGAAAAACACACACAGACACACACAAAAATATAATTATATGGTGGCAGCTGATTTCTGTCTTTTGCCAGGAGGCAGCAGGGTGAACAGGCTATGGCTGGGTGGGTATTGTCTTTTACTATTGTTGGGCGCAGCCACCAACATCACACTTGCTTGCTCGCATGCTTGGTAGATGGGTACCAATGATGTCCAATGATGCCATTGTAAAAGACGTTTTGATGAGTGCTCACATTTTGCACACCACTATAGCAAGTATAGTAATTGTCAGTTATATAAGCTACCTTAAAGAGAGCAGTGACAGCTGACTATAATATCAGATTTTTATATATTGATTTTTAAAGTCATATGTCCCAGAGTTTTTCTATTTTATTCTCTTAAATGTGTTTAATTACAGTATTTGTTTTGTGTTGTAATTTGTCATATTTCTGGACACTATTTAAAAATCATTGGTATGCCCCTCAAATATAAAATGTAAACTGCACTACAGGTCCCCAAATTCCAAGAGACAAATAAGTACTGAGGGAATTACCTCTGTGTTGTGGTTTTCAACAGTAGCTCTTGCAGGTCCTGCAGTGTTTTTGGACTATAAATCAATTCATTTCAATCTGCGGGTGACCGATAGCTGCCTCAGGATTAGTTCAGTTTTGGACACGTGACCAGACAGGAAGTGATTCCTCCAATCACCTTAGTCCGTTTTTAGTCTGTCATATGTAGCACTGTTCCCAAAGAATTTGCAGTGATACTCCTTTTCTCTTTCTCAGAATTTTATTTTTCTTCCTCTTTTTTTTACCTTTTTTATTTCCTGAAGTAATTGTGACTTGACGTCCACGGTGGCTTTAACTGCGCGCTACTCTGAGCAGCTGAGGTTGACATGAAGTAATTGTCTTTGGAAACATGAACACGTTGGTGACCAAATTAGACCACAAATGGATAAATTTAATCCTGCGGCAACCTTGGAAAACAGTTATGGCCGGTTCCAAGGTAAATGAACCACTAATATTTGCCCTTATATTTACAAGGGCAAATATCCTATTTGCCCTTGTAAATAGGACATGTTGGGGCTACGTTTCTGCAGTAACGTTAGCTGGGTTGTTAAATCATCTTGTATGTTTACCTAACGTTACTTGTTGACCGACGAAGTATTCTTTGTAGACCTGGGTACAATTTTGAGTCACTTAATTGGTACCTGATACTTAATTTCTACCACAACAAATTTCAGATAAAAACACTTTACCATCCCCTCTTTTATTAATATTTTCTGACTGATACGTTTTATATATTACAATGAAACTAACAGTGCCACCCACCCTGTTACATTGAAGCACTGCACAGCTGTTTGTAATCAGAGCCTGATTAGACTGGTGTAACAAAACAGACCAGAGAGTCAGGGAGATGTCAGCTAAGCAGAGTCTGTACATGCCCACATAGTCCTGAGAAGATGTCGAATCAGGCAAGATGCTTAACTCATTATTAAACTTTGACCATTACTCACAAAGAGTACTTTTGATAATAAAGAGAGTTAATATGCATTTACTTTTACCAACTTATACAATGCAGAATATGTAGGTTAAGTGTAGTATTTGCACCCTACAGCATTACTGCGTATCTTTAAACACAACTGAGTACTCTTATGTTCTTCTGTCCACAGGTCCAGCTCTCCACACTTCCTCCAAAACCTGTCATCCCCTCTAAGAAGCCTTTCAAGGTGCAGCTAGTTGGTGGAAAGCGATACTCATGGTGCACCTGTGGACACAGCAAGAATCAGGTAAAACCACCCTTTGACTCTATCTTGCATCGCTCCTGTCTAAAGTCCTGTATATTCCTCTGATCACGTCTTTCATCTTTCAGCCTTTCTGCAACGGAGCCCACAAGACCAAAGCCCAAGGCTTGTCCCCGCTACGCTTTGTCCCCGAGAAAGACGCCACAGCTTGGTTGTGTGGTTGCAAGTATTCAAACAACCCACCTTACTGTGACGGCACGCACAAGCAGGACTTCATTGTTTCTGCCACATTACATGAACAAACAGACTCTTGAAAAGGACGGCAGAGATGAATTTGAACTGAGTATTTATGTTGCTGTTGCACTCACATTTGTGTACATCATTGCACTCTATTAAACCAGCGCATGTAAACTAATCAAGTGCTTGAATCTTGTCAGTATTCCTCTCTGTGCTTGGGAAGAGTGCCGTTTGGGGTTAACACCACAGCCAACAACTTTAATTTTCCTTGCTTTGTCTTTTCTGAGGGAGAAACAATGTTGCATTAACAGGGATATGATGATATTCTGTGATATAATAGAGGTTTGTGTACCGAGAGATTTTACCATGTGGTTTATACTGAGGTGGTTATGAGGTCTTTGTTCTGTTAAGCCATTGTGGGCAATGTTGCACATAAATGGTACTTTAAGTCCATTTAAAGAGAGGTTGACTACTAGTATGGCTAAGATTTTGAAGATCTATAGAATGGTTTTCTGTGTAGAAATTGTACACTGAAGTGTGTTCATAAAGCAATGTGTAATTTCATCCTGTAATCGATGTGATAGTGTGAAACTACAATCTGTCAGGGCCAGAGAGTGAGCTTCTTCTCCATAAAATGCCACTTTCTCTTAACTTACTTTGTTTATTTCTTAATTTAAATGAACAGTCACTTGAGTTGCCAGTTGGGTTGACTTGTCTGTTATCAAATAAAAACAAACTTAAAAAGAGTGCCTTGTAATATTGTAGACAAACTTTCCTCTACAGAGCCTTGATATTGAGAATGTGATGTACTGCTTGTAGAAATGATTTGAAAAACATTTTGGGAACAAATTTAGAGAGAAGACTTCAACTGTATGTATCATCCAGAAGGTGGCTGTGCTTGTAAGCTACCGACATTTTGCTGTACATGCACACGGTGAAGATCTGCTAAAATCATGTGTTCAGATTCAGAACAGGCTGCTTGAGTAAAACTTAAGTAACTTACAACTGTTTCAAACTCATCCTGGTAGGCAGGGGGTTTGGCCTTTTATGGATCATATCACTTTCATCGTGTGTCTGTTCACTCTATTGCATACAGGTTATCGCCCTGTGAGAAACCACAGAAAATAAGCTGTTGATATCAAATGTCAAGCAAAGCTTTTTTTTTTTTTTTATAAGCTCCATTCTTGCAACATGCTTTACAACCTATCACATTCAGGGAATCATAAACAGGACAGTCAGGTCAGAAAAACCTAGTAAGTAAACATTTTTATTGACCTAAAACATGCACATATGGCTGATAAAAAAGTATCATTTTTTGTTGAAAAGAAACAAAAGGAATGTTGAAATTTATGGAACTACAACATACATGGCCAAATATTCAAATCCCTTTTGAGCTCTTCGACTGCCATGAGAGAAAGAACATAGTCTGCTGACAAACCTCTTATGAACGTGTTAGTGCTTGGAACTTTGTAAATATAAATTCCTTCTCCTGTTGGAAAATACCTCGACAAAGTGCATCAACAGTTTAATGTAATGTACCTGTGTTACCTGATGAGCAGTTGCTTATAATGGACACTTACACAGCAGTTATTAACATGACTGTTTTTCTCTTTACATCCAACTCCAGCAGTGATGAGCACTGCAATGCCTTTTAAGCATTTTGTCCCAAGTGTTACGGAGCCAAATCAATGTTGACGCAACTACAGTATGGAAATGAAACAGACCCACTGCATATACAATACAAAACGATTACAATATCTTGTATAAAAGATAAGTTTATACATATGTATGCACACATGCTCACATTTGATACATACTGTACAGTTAGTATGTGTGCACTGTTCTAGTCTAACACACATAAACACACACGCACGCACATACATACATACATACAAGTGTCTATTTGGCTGCACTTTTCAGTCTTTCCTGTTGAAAGATGAAAACAGTAATCTGCTTCCTGTTTTGTCCAGAAGACTCGAGCTTGTCTTTTCTCTCTACTTGGAGAGAAAGAAGGGAGCAATTCAAACACTGTCCTCCCCGCTGCCCTGTATACACGTTAGGTCGTCGGAGGCAAACCACTTTTCTCGCCTCCCCTCGCCTCCTCTTTGCCAGCCCCAGAGCTCGTGCCGTTGACAGTCACCTTCCGAGCGTTGGCGCCCTGTTTGGAGGCCAGAGTGTGTCGCTGAGTGTTGTTGGTCACAGTGGTACCGTTGGAGCTTTGGATGGCGGGAGAGACGTTGTGGGACGCGGGGCTGGATTGTGAGGAGGCTCGGGCCGGCTGGGCTGCAGCGGGACTGTGGACTTTGTCACTCTGGGAGTCGCTCTCGGACGTCGGGCTGGTGTTGACGCCGTCAGAGTGGCCCTGGGCGGCAGACTGGGGTGGCCTCCTGCGCTTCCGGGTGGGTTTGACGAGATACTGCAGGGGGATGGGTCCAGTCTGCACAGAGGGACACACATCGTCAGGACTGTGGATAGGAGCTCAGGTCTTATTAGTCATCAATGACATCTATAAACATAAAATGCCTCAGTAAATACCCCAAACGTGAATTTTGAAGCATTTACGCATCTTTAAAAAAGGCGGTTGCACATCAGTGGCTAAATAAGACTAAAAAAAACTTCATCCCGCTGAATACTCGTCCGCCTTCAGCTTTGTGGTGGTGTTGTGAAGTCATGCGACGTGTAGTTTGTGGCGTAACGTTAGCGTTTTACTAAAATCATAAAAGTGGTGTTCATTTGTGAAGATTATTTTGTTGAACAAAACATTTAAGTGTCATAAACGTTTGTTTGCCAGAGAGATTATTTTACAGAAAAAAAACAAATAAAATTAAAAACACATAAATGAGCCCGAGTGCTGCACTGGGTGACATGATCCTTCATTAACATAAACATGAGCACCGTAGTTTATTTTGACTCAATCCTACAAATGCTGTCCTGTTGCCCAAACAAAACACGCCACCTGTTTTAGGAAATGACTCAGCCTTCTTTTTCCATATATATAAAATATAGTTTGACCAGTTATCAAAGAATCACAATCAATAAAAATGATTGGGCCTGGTCTGAGAGCCACAGAGAGGGTTGGATGGGAAGGTTGGAGTGTATTTTGGACATTTCATGGGATTTATTGACAATAACAAAAACATACCACCAGCTTCATCCTTTAACATACCCGTGTCTAAATATCACAGTTGCAAGCTAGGAGCACGTCCATATAAAAAGGAAGTGTATAGCAAATGGTCAAAGAATGATCATGCCATGGCAGCAGATACATTGACTTTAAACATCGACAATAACAGCAGAAATGGAAAAAGCTAAACTTACACTAAAAATTATTTGTTTTCAACAATGTCAGCATAATGAAGGAACAAACTTGTGTTTGAACCCATTGAGACAAATTGTGTTTTAGAGTATCTCCCCCTAAAACCAAAGACTTCCTTCCATGCATCCATCCATGAACAGTTCCCATTGGCTGCCCGTTACATAATCAATTTAAGAACATATAGACTGCGCAAGAAAATTGTCAGCGGTAATGTCAAGGGATTTTATTTAAACGTCCTGGAGACACTGCAAAGAGGGGAATGAAAATGAAATCATGCTAGCTACAGGAAACACAAGAGTGATAATCGTAATATATTTGTGGTCCACAGTGAAAAGTATGAAAGCTGCCACTCACTCTTCTCCACTCGTAAAAGTAGGCAATATCCATTAGTGTGTAGTAGTCCTTCAAGGGCTCATCTCCATACAACACCTCCACCTGTAACACACATTTGAAAACCACTTAACACAGTGTGACCAGCAGGAAACAGCCATCTGCCAGATCTTCATTTTAAAACGTTTGGATTTCTTCATTTGGAAATTTAGGTCTACTCTACTGCAAACTCTACAACACAATACAAAGCCTCCATTGCAATCATCATCAACACGGTGCACATAACGGGGCTGTTATCCCGGCTTAACTCAAACTAGTGCAATGCCCGTTCAAGGCAAACTTTTGTTCCACTGGCCTTAATTACGTTGGCATAAAACTTGAAAGGTTAAGTTTTGTGTTTCTACGTCAAGATAACCGGCCCTGCGTACTTTGAGTTCCCCGTTATGAACAGAGGTGTGCCTTATGTTGTCAGCATGCAATAACATCAGCCTCATTTACGGGTAAGCAGCAGAAGACATCACCGATTATTTTCAGGAACCTGGCGGGCAAACTGTTTTTGTCCAGTGCCGATGTTCTTGTAATGTATTCAATACAGTTTGTGAGACAAGTCAAATCACCCGCAAAAGCATTGGTGTATGTTTTTAAACGTCGTGGATTCAAATACGACTTCAGCAGAGCCTTGTGTTTGGTTCGCTGCACGGGAAAGCATCTTTCGTCAAGACGGACGTAACCCTGTCTGTGCTCATCCCCGCAATGTTACTTCTGTCATTCAAAACATAGTCGTACCAGCATTTTCCCTGAAATGTTACGAGGTTGTGAGGTGGAAAATTGGCGGCACAGATCTCCCTGGATATTCATCCATAACCCCACTCACACATGACCCCATGCAGGAAATGTGCCTGAGCATTTTAGGGACAGACTGCATGTGTGAAAGGGATTTTATTAAGTTTTAGCTTTGAACGACAACATCTCTAAAGACTAAAGTGAGCTACAGTTGTTGAATGCTAACAAATTGGTCAATAGATGCGCCTGTTTTAGACCTTTGTCGCTTTGACATGCTGCAGCAAGAAAAGCACAGTTGTAATTAATAAAGTAATAACACTGATTCAGTTCCAGGGCTCTGCTATTGTGAATGCGGTCTCACTGGGACACTTAATGGAACAGCGCCATCATTATTAGTCACTCCTGTGCTTTTTCTGCTATGACCCATTACAATCTTTCCCTTGAAATATTTAAAAGCAATAATAGGTTGGGGTTTTTTTTTTGTGGCTCAATGGTAGTGGAACGTGCTATACAACAATGACGTATCGTCACCTCACAAAGTTGTTATGGTGACAGATCTGAAGCAAAATTAGCAATCATTTTGGAGTCTTGCTTGTTTCCACCTTATGAACAGAAGTCCAATGTTTACCCTTTAGTCTCTGCGAACTGCTGCCAAGCGCGCCAATGTGTTCACCAGCTAGTAGCTAACTTTGTCCTCCGTACGATGCAGGGAAGGTTGTGCGTAATACGTTTATCAGAGCTTTCTCACTAAAAAAACAGCTGCAACCGAATTCGACCCACCTTTGTTACAGTGTTAACGACTGTGATCACATTACTTCAGAGTTAAATTCATTTTAAACAAGGCAATTATATTATTGTGTTGAAAGCCTGAAATTTGCCACACAATCGATACAGCGAGAGTTGCTGTGTACGGGTAAAGTGTCCACTAACCCGATAGTTGTTGGGAATATCCATCTTGCTTCGGAGGAACTTTGCCAAGTGCATGACGGACATGGCTGCTGGGCACTGTAGGAAGCGTTTACCATTGGACTGAGAACAAAGAGAAGAGCAGAGAAGAAAACCACATTAAACATGAAGAGTGTCGGCTTCAACTACTGCTTTAACCAACTCAAGATCAGGCTTTACCTTGTCTCCTTCCAACTCTGAATGCTGCCTCTCATTATTTCTGCAGGGGAATTTTAAATACAAAGAAAAGGTGTTAAATATTAAATCAACAATTCTTTCCACACATGGAGGAAAACCAAATTCAGAGAGACATACAGCAGGTGTGAATGGAATCGTTTTCACACAGGTCTTATTCCCTTCTTATATTTAAGCAGTTATTCTCTATTGTTTGCTGCAGTTAAATTGCATTGTTTTTAAATCTGTCTAAGATTTCACACTGCTGTTTTTTTGTAAAAATGGAGAAATGATTGACTCACTTGTTCCTCTCGTAGAACTGTATGGACAGACTGATGATTTCATCCTCTGCTATGTTAAACGTCTCCACCACTTCTCCCGGTTCCAGCACACGATTCTCTGCGTAGAAGTCCCGCCTCCGTTTCATCTCATCTGGGTTCAGAAATACACGTGTGCATTGGCAAAGAAATGCACCATAAAAAACGGTAACTTATGACAAGAGCCGGCTTCGAGTAACACGGTCTTACCTTTGAATAACCCCGGTACGAGCTTATAAACAATATCTTGTAGAGTTTTGTCTGCCCTGGAAAAGAAAAGAAATCTCTGTTTATAAGCATGATACTCCATGCAGTCAGAAGTATTTTCATAAAACACCCTTCAAAAACCATCAAAACGTACCTGATGCTGAGCTGTGGACATGTCTTGTGGACCTGAACGTCACATCGAGGGCAGAACTTATTTGTCTCCAGGAAGGCAACGATGCAAGTTTTACAAACTGTACGGAGAGAGAAAGGACACAGACGTATTATAAACATTGCTCTGTACATTAATGTGCATGGAGTGGACTTAGTATCATTGGCACTTTCAATTCAATGTAAAACATTAATACAAAACTACTGTTGATTCTACATCAGAGGAGACTCTCCATCTCATACACAGTGCCAACATAAAATGTGAATTGTTTCACATGCAGTACATTATTATTGTGCACACAGATGTTCCCTGAAGTAGACTTCTTATAGGCCTAGATTCCAAAAATGAACATTGAGGTGGAGTCACAGTGTGTGACTCAACATCACCTCCTCACTAGCAGGAGCTCTGCTAGATGTGCATACAGTCGTACGGTCTGTGCTAATGTCATGCTGGGGGTTAATGAACACAATATGCATGCATGCATGCAATGCTTTCACTGTGAGGAACTTACAGGAGTGCAGGCACTCTACAATGGTTGTAGCATCAATTAAGTAACCAGCGCACAGTGGGCATGTGAGGTGAGGATTGAGATCTGTGATTTTAATCCGGTTGGGCTGCATTTTATCCATCTGAACAGATCTGCGGTGAGAAACAAACAACATGAGAGGCTCTGGTTACACAGTGGGGCACAGGAGCCTATGTGAATGTGCTGGTTAAGACAATTAGGGCTTTCCCCATATGCTCAATGAGTGGCTGCCACAGTGCTCCCCTCAGACAATGTCTGCAGCTCGTCCTTGGGACAGCAGGTTGTGAAACCACAACAAAGAGAGCTCGTGGCCAACGAAATACAACTGCGATGACATGTTGTAGCGACGAATAACGTGTGGAGAGCAGGGAGTCGTGCAGCTAAATGCGGGCTGTGTGCTGGTACACAGCAGCCGACTACTGAATCGCCCCTGTAGTGGCCTCATCTTGTGCATCAGCTCTGCCCCTCGACCAGCGGACCAACAAAGAGCGTTTCCATTTCTCCCGGAGCTCCGCCGTCCGACCGGGCACCACAACCAAACACATCCAGAGGCAACACCGACACTGATGGGGGTGCAGAGCCACAGAAAATCACACTGGTACACAAAGCAGCCATCTTAAATTCACTGACAGGGCTGTATCAGGAGGCGAACAAGAGAGACTCAAAATGTGACACCGTGCACTTTGTGTGCGCCTCAGCAAACAGCGGCGCGACGTGCCCGATAAAGAGCGATCGCCGACGCTTCGTTCCTACCTGGTTAGACATAAAAGTTTCCCTCTCCTCCCAGCGAGGATCCAGGTAAATTATTTGGACTTGGACAGAATTTGCAGCAGCGCCAGAAAATGGCTTTTTTCAGCACCGTCAGAGGACTGCCCATTTTGGATCACGTGATATTATTTTGTCGCCTCGTTCACGGGGCATACTGGGTATCAGGCCCTGCTGACTTTTTACACGTTCACCCACCCTGCATAGGCCCGACATCACATTCGTGTTTTTTATTGTTATTTTACCTTTGTTTATTATTATTTTTTTCAATACGTTGCACAGGAGAGCGATCAGCCACGCCCTCTGCTTGTCTAAATTCTAAATGATTTTGTCTGAGAGGCCCTGTGAGGCCTCGTGTCCAGGGGCCTGAGCTATGGGTTGTCCCACAAAGACGTGTGGAATTTAATTGGAAATGTGCAAATCTTGCTCCAATTAAATGTTGTTGTTTTTTAACATTTATTATAAAATATATTATTTTTATGTCATATACTAATAGAGTAAATGATGGGTAAAAGAATGATTAAATGATTTACATGGTAAGAAAAATAATAGATTTATACCCCTCAGAAAAGTTATAAATCCCTTATCAAATACATACATTCTGAAGAATTATTACTATAATCCAGTGAAATACTAAATTAAATAAAATTAATTTATATCATGTATCAAATTAATGTTTATCCATTTAAATCTGGGATTGGAGGTCTCCTTTTCCATCTAACCTTGTAACCAATAAAAGCAGCACATATTTAAAGACAAAAATATAACTACAGTTTAAAAGGGCAGCCTAATACTGACTAACAATACTGTGTACTAATGGAGAGTCAGTATACCCTTTGGTAACATGCAGAGAACATCAAAGCTTTTATGACAGCCCTGGGGTCAGCTTACAAAAATGAATACTGTGAGTGATGTAAACATAGTGTATTATAATCAAATCTTTTGGAATTACTGCACATTTGACTGGGAAAATACAGTGTACAGGGATACATGGTGATTGCATGCTAGAAGCTAAGGAACGTGTTCAAAAAACGTGTTGTTCCAGAATTGTTCTTTGATATTTAGGAAATGCAAGAAAAAATCGTTTCATTAAGTGAACAAGAAAAAACATGCTGCAGGGAATTTTATTCCTGTGATCTTGGATGGTTCAGACTTAAGCATGAGGTCTCCTTAAAGAAAACAAACATATTACAACTGAGTGCATCTTTTAGTATAGTTGTACATGTATTAATGTTTTAGTACCCCAGTAATTTAATATTTCTCTTCCATAAAGTTGTGGGACTCAAAAGTGTCAGATTTAAAAGATAATAACTGGTCAAATTTAAAGCAGCTGGAGCCAGAGATCCTGACTTGTAGTCCCAAAAATGGGTCCAGCTCAAGAGACACGGATACTTCCATAATGCAACTCAGTATCTGTTCGTAAGGCTCAACCTGCCCTTGTCTTGTTCATGTCCCCTGTTTGTTACGCATAGTCTTTTAAATAGATTTGTAATCTCCAAGCTAAGGCTGAGATAACCCTGATGACATCATTTGGGTTTATTTTGTCAGACTTGACACAGCTCCATACAAATGTAGCACTAATCATGACAAGTAAATTGAGCTTTATATATAAAATTGGTTTCATCATATCATCAAATGGTGATTGAACCATTAGCAATAAACAGTTAGTGAAGAAAGAAAACTAATCAGACTTTACATTTATTTTCCAAAGAATCAAAAGAAAGTTTGTCACTAACACTGTTTTCTTTTCTAACTTGCTGTAACTTATCAAATCACCTGCTTTAGTTTTACCCTGAAAAAGTCTTGATATCATCATATTGAACCATTTGAAATTTGTGTAATTCTGCAGAATATTGCTGACAATGCAGTGCATGAGTGAACCTATGGCCTCTATACAGTGTTGTCAGACCAGAACCTGTGGTGGGTGGCCTTGGGGAAATACAGTGTCCTACATCTTACTGCAACTTTCTGTGTTTAGGGTTTTTTACGTAAATTAAGACAAATCTCACTGAAATTAGAATAATGTCACAGGTATATTTCTCATTTGTTCGTATGTGACACTGTGAGGGGTTCCTGTTAACCATCAGGTGACCTGGTGAGGAATTTCAGCTAGTTTGCCAACAGTTTTAACCATGGCGACATCATTTATTGTGACCTGTTATCAAACATGGTGGTAAAATCAACAGCTGAGATGCATGGCCCATTCTAAATACTACAGATAGAAACAGGAGATCAGCTGTTATCAATGTGTCTTCAAAGCACTCACACCTCACCTGTCAATCTTTGATCAACCCAACAGTACATTTTTTTTTTTTTGGTGACTTAGAATCTGACAGGTTACATGTTTTAGTGCAACAGCTGTTACAACCAGGGACATATCATTGAGGATACTGGGTTGATGTCATATTGTTATCAGGGAGTTTTGGCATTTTAGCAACCTGGGGGAGATTAAACAACAAAATTTGTAAATAAAATCAACACTTGTTTTTACAGTGATATCTAGCCGTTTTTATACTATTTAAAGCCAGTATTTCCCCACTAAAATGTATTCCTTGTGGTGTGTACAACCAGCATTCACTTTATGAGATTGGGGATTTGGACGGACTTGGTCTCGGTATTTCAGTCCTCACTCCTTGGCTATACAACCCATCTACCCTCCAGGTCCTGGTCCAGATTGAGGTGTGGGAACCCCTGTAGTTCTAGCGGCGGCCTGCTGGGCGCGCTGTTGACCGTTAAGAGCAACACAGACGCCATCTTGAGGAGACCCCGAACTGGTTGGTGACTGACAACAATCTCAGGCGCATCATGATGGGATTACGCACCAACAAGTAAAACAGCATCACATCAGTTCCGCGTTGCACGCGTTAAAGGGAAAGGAGAGGAGCTGTCCAGCGTGTGTTCACCGATCCAGGTTTTTTATTTTTTTAAAGAGAGGCTGCTCTGTAGCCTGATGGCCGGTTAGCTGCTCTCTGGACTCCACCGCGGCCTGTTCGGGAGGAGGAAGGGTGGTGACGGCGCAAAATGCTCTACCGCTGACTCCCAACAACACCCAGAGACTCGCTGCGAGTTGGACGACGAGCACGATGCACTGATAGATTTTTTTTAGACGCCCTTAAACTTTTACGAATTTTTGTGTTGTGTGTAGAGGCTGTGAACGACAGTGAGTGCCGTCTTGCGTACCCTGAATTCCCAGCCTGAGACATGTCATCCAACTGCACCAGCGCAGCGCCTGTCAGCGCTAGCAAAACCAAGACGAAAAAGAAGCATTTTATAGGACAGAAAGTGAAATTATTCCGTGCGAGTGAGCCCATTCTCAGCGTTTTAATGTGGGGTGTCAACCATACGGTAAGTGCGTCTTAAATGTCTCGTGGTCGCCAGTAAGCGGTTTGTTTATGCTGCTGTTTTGATTTAGCTAGCCTGCTAGCTTAGCCAGCTGCCATCATCTGTCAAGCCAGCTCTGATGCTCTCAGTCGACCGCGTTAAATGTCTCGTTTCATGGATATTCGCCAAGTATTTAGTAGTGAAGCTTGGACAGAGACCTGCTGGCCGGCTCTGCACCGAGCTGCTCGTTGTCGTACAGTTTGCAGCTAACGGCTGATGCCTCGATAGCTAGCAGCGTATTGCTTCGCCTGAAGCGTGCATTTTGCAGGGGATTTTGACGTGTGTCTGTTTTTAAGTCCCTGCAGCTGTGAAGTGAATATCAGGTTCGGCAGGTTGTGCGTTTTCACTGACCGCGTAGCGTTAACAATCTGCCACCATTTGGAGCCAAGTCGTGAGCTGCGGTTGCTGTAGCGCAGGCATGGAGTGGGAGGGGTGTGCCACCAGTCAGGCAGCTGGAGCAGCAGGTTACACAGATTTTCAGCTCCCACAGCAGCAGACAGCAGCCTGCCCCATTGTTTGAATAAACCTGCTCCCGAGCTTGCAGCTCCAATGCTCGGCGCATGCATCCAACTGCTGCAAGTTAATTGCATCACACAATCTCCCTATAAATAGCTAGCAGTAAAAAAAAAAAACATATATATCACATTCACTTTTGGCCGAGGCTGCCTATGGGCTATGTAAAGCACGGTGAGGGGCAGATTCGACGTCAGTGATGGATGGAGTTGCACCAGCAGCTTGCTCTTGCCTATACACATAGTAACTGTTTGGTCACACTCTGTCACACAGTTTGATTGATGCATGAAAAGCAGCTTCTCAGGTGTGAGAACTTTACGTCCAGAGTTGAAACTTTTTTTGATCTGCTCTGAGTAAAAGCACACCTGTATGAGTTTATTATCACAGTCAGGTGTAGTTTGTTTTTAAAGCACACTGGCACTGTTTTGATGAAGTTACAGTATTGTGTGGTGAACTGTCTCCTCTTCCAAACATTAATGTCGTCATTATGTAAATGGTAATAATTCAAAGGTGTGTAGCAGCCACGGCAGATGTGAAACTGTGACACTGGGAATGTGTTTGTGTGTCTGCAAACAACCAAGGAATTAGGGAAGCAGCTAATGATATGGTTATCACTGCAGCATCTCCAGTATGCAGTGGGTGAACTTTGGCAGTGGGCGTGTGGGTGCAGCTCATAGGCCTGGTGATTTGAGGTGTGGGTGGGAAGCCGATTCAAGACATCAAACAGACTTCTCATCAAAGTCCTCTTCTTCCAGTCAGGAGTTGTATGCAATTTTAATAGTGCCCTCGCTGCTATGCTGCAAGACTTCACTTCCACACAGTGTCAGTTAGTGTTTAGATGATGTACTGCTGTACACCACCTGTCTGATGCGGCTAATCCCTTAGTTTTTGTCTTTTATGTCTACAAATAATTGCCCACTGAGGTTCATCAGAGTTTTAAGATAACAGAATCTGATGTTTATAAAGGACACAATGTGTTCACAGAAAACTTTACATTAGAAATTCAATAACTGCTTGTTTTCATACTTCTCAAAGTTACACATTATTTTTAGATATGTTCAATTCATGCAAATGAACAGGCCTCCACTAGGAAGCTACCTGACTGACTGTTTCCTTTATGACAACTTAACTACTATATTATATAGTATATTAACTATACTCCTATAGATAAGGTTGTTGTTATTTATATTGTGAATGGGGAAGTTACAGCTTGGAATCGGATGATATTTAAGTCGGGTTGGCTGTTTATGAGTTTATTTGTGTGTAAGTGTGCTTGCTAAATATTCTATCAAGCAGCTGTTATAACAGTAGCATATTTAAATCACATTAATGCACCATCAGGAGTTTGAGATGACTTTGAAAATGAGAAGTACGTATATTAAATTGCCAAACAGCACTGCCAGGACTGTGTACTGCCCCTTTTAGTATCACTTCATAGTTACTCACAGGCTCTGGGGTAGTGGCATTTCTTCAGTCTTGTATTGCTGTTTACGCGATAATCTTCAAGGACATTTTTTCTTAGCGGTCCATCAGTGTGAGCTTTTGCCCTGGATGAGTGTCAGCAGATAAGATCAGAGTTGTACATGGATGGATGCGTAATACAACACCTAGTATTCCCATATTTAGCCTAATGGATGTCTTATTTTATATGGATAATCTTAACTTTAACATATCTTCTGTAATTATAATGGGAAAGCATCATATCCATGTAGAATTATAACTATAAAACTATGGAAACACTTTGAAGATCAGCTTTTATTGTAACATTGTTTAATAAGTGTTCATAGTTTGCTTCTTCAAAAGCCCCCTGTACAAGAATGTATAAATAATAGATTTGTTTTTATATCAGTTAGGTTAAATGTGATGATCACATTGTCAGCATTTTTGTTAATGTCCCATTCTTAATTTATAATAATGTTATTGATTTAAAACGCGGAGTTAATGGTTGGTGCTGGTAAACACTCGTAGAGATTCGGCCCGACTGTGACATGCGACTGGCGATAGATATTGTTCTTGTGGAGCGTGTTGCAGGTATTCACAGCTCTGCTCTCATGATGAGCATGTCCAGTACTTGAGGGCAAAATGAGATGCTGTACATATTTTTCACAGTTGTATCTTTATATGTTTAAAGGCGAATCTGGATTTTAGTATTTCATGCAAGAGTCTGTATTGAGCATAATTTCAAACTGTGAAATAGTTTTCACAGTTGTATCTTTATATGTTTAAAGGCGAATCTGGATTTTAGTATTTCATGCAAGAGTCTGTATTGAGCATAATTTCAAACTGTGAAATAGCAAAAGTCCTTATTGCTGCTTTGATTTCTTAATCATAGAGTCTGTAAAGTGGGAATATCAGCTTCGGGCTCTTGTCTGATCTCTCTCTCTTTTTCTCACTTCTCTCCCTCAGATTAACGAGTTAAGTAATGTGCCTGTACCAGTAATGCTGATGCCAGATGACTTTAAAGCCTACAGTAAGATCAAAGTGGACAACCACCTATTTAACAAGTAGGTACATCACAGCTTATGCACTGTCAGCTCAGTCTGTTAAACCCAACGGCTGAGTTCAAAACACCTGACGTAACTCCTGAAAGTCCACTTTCCATCTCTTTGCTCAAATGCTCATATTACTGAATCTTTTGCACTCATCAAATCCCATCACAATACAAATTGAGACTTGCTCTGAATGGCCCTAATATGTTGTATTCAGAATGGATGTCCCCAACAATAACGCGGCAATGACTTCACCAAGAATCCTTGCAATACAAATCATCCTCATGTAAAGAAGCATCTTTGTTTTTTTTAAGGCCGAGAGTAGCATGTGACGACCTTCAACAATCAGAGAAATGTACCCTTTTGGTCCTGAACTGTACACAGGAGTGGACAAAATAACGTGAACAATAAATAAACAGTAGTGTTTGTAGTCTGAAGTAGCGCAGTCACCGTAGCGGACTCTGCTACAAAGGTGAGTCCTATTGGGTTGCATGACATTTAGTGGTAGTTGTCTGTGTGTTCATCACAGCACTGTTGGCTATCCTCACTTTTTGTTCATACAACGTATCTGCTCTCTTTACACATTAGATAATCCTGTAGCTTCTTTGATTAATGCACCTATAGTGGTTTGGTCTGTTGCCCATTTACAGTTGCTTTGAGAACGTGCATATCAAAGTGATAAAAGCCAGACAAGCCAAACAACAATAATTGCAACCCAAATCTGTTCAATATGATGTGATGAGAAATTTAACTTGCATTGCAAATTGCTTTTTCAGCATAAAAGCCAGCATATGGCCGAACTGAATTTGTGATTTTGGCTGCAATTCCAATTTCATTGCGTTTCACATTCTAGCTCGATAATATTTTGGGGTGATTTAAGGGTTTCGGTTGGTAGTATGGATGCAAGTTCCGTATTTACACACGATTTTTACACATCTGGCTTCAGGCTCACATGTCAAAAAGCCAGATGTTTACTTTACTACTTTATGCACTTTAAAATGTTCTCATCCTGCAAATAGGCAGCATCTAAAAGGAGAACAAATGCCTTTGAAAAAGGAGCTCAAAGCTGTAAATGTCAACTCTGAATTGTATTATTATCTGTGCACACAACAGCAGAAATAAATCCTTCCTCATTTTCAGTAATGAGCCCCTGAGCTCCTGTTTCTTTGTTGACTGACTGGTTGTGTCTTTTACTTGTCAGAGAAAACCTGCCTAGTCGCTTTAAGTTCAAAGAGTACTGTCCCATGGTGTTCAGAAACCTGAGGGAGAGGTTCTGCATTGATGACCAGGACTACCAGGTAAGTCACTGCGATGAATGAAATCTAAATTATTTCAGGGGAAAGAGGTCATGGGTAATTTGTACTTTGATGTGAGAATATAACTGGATGATGTTGTTGTTGTTGTTGTTGTTTTTTGGGCAGAACTCTCTAACGAGGAGCGCCCCACTCAACAGCGACTCCCAGGGGCGCTTTGGCAACCGCTTCCTGTCCAGCTACGACCACCGCTTTGTAATTAAAACGGTGTCGAGCGAGGACATCGCTGAGATGCACAACATCCTGAAGAAATATCACCAGGTAGAAGTCCCTTGTCCCACCACACGGAACATCCAGAGACAGAATCAAATACCTTATTCCTTGTTCACACCAGCGTCACACCATTTTTTCACCGAAGTTGAAAAATTTCAACTCACGCGTTTGGGGCGTTTTGCGTTTGAGACTCCAGTCTCATCGCGTCTGTGCATAGACTTTGTATGTATCTCGTCGCGCGAATAATTCGCCCCGCGTTTGTTGTGAACACAGCATTAGATATCTGCTGTGTGCTTAAATGTTGGGTTTGAGTATTGGTTATTTCATACACTATTTAATCTAAATGTTTAATGTTTGTATAGATGGAGTGTAGGAAAGACATTTAGGAGCATCATTCTGTGAATATATTTTAAGATGCGCTTCCTTCATTTCAATCTAAGGTTACTCATGCATGTAAATGATGCAGAAGTGTTGAAATGATGTGACTGTAGAGCAGTGCTGTGTCCAGTTTGAATCAGTTTTCATCATGCTGTATATTTGATTCCTGACTCCCACTCTCTCGGTTCTCCTCCCTTCATTGTCTCCAGTTTATAGTGGAGTGTCATGGCAACACGCTGCTCCCACAGTTCCTGGGCATGTACAGGCTAACAGTGGACGGGGTGGAGACGTACATGGTGGTGACCCGGAATGTATTCAGCCATCGCCTCACCGTACACCGCAAATACGACCTGAAGGTACAAACGTGTAGATGTTGATCACATAAAAACAATTTCCAGGATAAACCACACACACACACACACACACACACAACTGAATACTATAAGCACAGACTTAAATCACACGTGTGCAACAACATCTGTCTCTCTGTGCATCTGTAACCGCTCTTTGAATTATTTAATGAAGGGAAAATGTATAAATACATTATCAATTTAATTGAAGCCATGTCTGACATGTAAAGCATGTAAGCAAGGAATACATCGAAAAAAGATCACAACATAACATTAAAAGGAATTATTATAAAGATAAAATTAGATTAGGTTAAATTTAAGAAATAATTGAGGTGAGATGAGCTTCTGATTCATTTTACTGCTGAAACAATTAGTTGATTAATCCGTAGTGAAAATCACTAACAATTTTAATAATCGATTATTCGTACAAGTCAAGCAAACATTGCTAAACATTTTCTCATTCCAGCTTTCTCTGTTTATATAATTGTGACTTTAATATCTTTTGATTTTTGGCTATAAAAAAATGGGAAATTCAATCAAACGTAGAGTCAGGGCACTGCAATTTTTGTAGATTTTATTTCTTTTTTATAATTGAGGTTGTTTGTTCAATTTACTGCTCAAACGCCTGATTTTGCTGTGATTATGCACAAGGAAGAAAATGGGCATGTTATTGAATTTAAATAGGAAACAGTTCATACTCTCATGGTATAATTTGCAGAAGATTACAAATCCAGCTCATCTATAAAGAATTCTGGGTTTGTGCTGAATATTACAGTGATCCTAAAAAAATGCCTCATGGCATACACCTCTTCTCCTGCTAAGTATTCTCTGGAGAAAAGTTTACCGCTCCAATATTGACAGTTTAAAAAGACGCTGTCTGAGATAAAGTGGGTAAAATGCACCAATGCCTCTGATGTGTCTTGAGCTGCTTTCAATTAATTCTATTTTTACTCTCATTTTCTCTCATTTGTAGGGTTCTACGGTCTCAAGGGAAGCCAGCGACAAGGAGAAGGTGCGTTTTATTTCTGTGCAGTGACGGCTGCTGACATGATGGGATAAATATAAACTCCCTTAGCTCACCCCAAAGGCATACCTGTCCAATGACAGCTAAATTAAGCAAGTTTTAAGTAAGGAGATTTATTCTATTAGTACCCTTTTGCACTGGCCTCATGTGGTCAGTGTGTCATACTCTGTTGTACTTGTTTTGTTTGTTAGTATGCGCTGTAGAGTTGTTGGAATGGGACGTTATCTGTCATCATTGAAAGACCATTTATTTTGACCATATCTCTATGTATTTGTCATATTACATTTATGACTGTGTAATTCTAACACTTGCATGTGACCTCTAATCATCCTCAGTAACAACATTTTTCCTACTGTTTGCTAATTAAAGACTTCTCCTCTCTTCAGGCAAAAGAACTCCCAACTTTTAAAGACAACGACTTTCTGAATGAAGGCCAGAAGCTGCAGATAGGAGACGACAACAAGAAGTACTTTTTGGAGAAGCTAAAACGTGATGTAGAGGTAAGAAACCCATCCGGGTTTTCATCTAGTCAGCTGTAAAAATGTTCATCTTGTTATTATCATTGAATGAGTTTGGGTCGAGATGGTAATCAAACCTTAATACTTTTGTGTCGGTTGCACCGACTATTGACAATCGTCAAATACAAGAGGTGGGATTTGTTTTTCTACTTTGATTTCCATTAGAAACGTATACTGTACTAACTAACCGACGCTATTTTCTTTAAACATTTCTATTCCTTGAAGTAAAGTATATTACTAAAACATCATCTTACAATAACTCATGTATTGTAAGTACAAGTATTGAAACATTTTGTACAAATGACTGGTTGTACTGCAATACACAGATCTATTTTCCATGGCAAACTGAAATACATTTAAATGCTGCCTAATTATAGATATGTTCATTTAACATGTTACTTTGAATACATATGCCATATTGTTTGGCATTACAATCTAGGGCTACTCTGAGTTTATTTTTTTTACATTCAAAGCTTCTATTGAGGTTTTCAAATAAAGCTTTGAATGTCTGTCGTCGCTGTTTAAGACGTCATCACCCGTAAAACTGTGGAAATATAAAAGAATTCTATAAATATAATTTATGGTGCTGTTAGATTTTCTCAAAACATTTTGACTTTTGGACTTCGCAACGCTCTGGTGTTTTTTGAAATCACTCAAGTCTGAAACAATTCTATGCAGCCACCACTCAAAGAAAAGCTTGTCAGCATTCAAATGTCAATTTAGAACGATATAAATGAAGCTTCAATCTGTTATTTTATTGATAAACAAATGTTCTTCAGACCTGTATGACCGAGAAACACTCAAAATACAGACGTGACAACGAGGCATTACATTGAGTGTTATTTGTGTATTGTGTATTGTGTATTGTGTGTATTGTGTGTGTGTGTGTGTGTGTGTGTCAGTTCCTGGCCACCCTAAAGATCATGGACTACAGTCTCCTGGTGGGAATCCACGATGTGGATCGGGCCGAGCAGGAGGAGATGGATGTGGAGGGCGTGGGAGAGGAGGAGGAGTACGAGAACGACGGGATGGGCGGAGGCGTGCTCACCGGCTCCTTCGGCACGCCCCCCGACAGCCCCGGAAACCCTCTCAACTGTGGAGGATTCTTCGGCCCCGGGGAGTTCGACCCCTCTGTGGACGTTTACGCAATCAAGAGCCACGACAGTGAGGGTCGCCTTTGACATCCATCTGACTCAATTAACTTAGCTTTATATTAAGCATTGGCAGCTAATTAGATGACAACTTGCCTGTAAAGGAAGAAATCATTTCTATTTGTTTAGTTTGATTAAGAGCACTCAAAACTAAGGAGTAGTCAGTCAAAGCTGCCGTCCTCATACAATAGAAGAAATGTGTGTAAAACCTTGTGACATGTTGTTCTTGTGCTAGGTGCTGTGAAGAAGGAGGTGTACTTCATGGCTATCATCGACATCCTCACTCACTATGACGCGAAGAAAAAAGCTGCACATGCTGCCAAAACTGTGAAACACGGGGTGAGTGTCAATACTACATCATGCTCCATCCCGCTATGGCTACACATTCAGATTACAGAGAATCATTTAAATTATTCAATAAGACATCATGAATACTTTATGCAAAATACTTTTTGTAAAGCAATACATTATTGAATCATTTCATATTTATTTAATCATTAAAACTCAATAAAATCACATGTGACCTCAGCCTCCCAGCAGGCTAACCAACCAACCAGCTAGCTAGGTCCAGCTAGCTACAACAACCAAAGAGAAAGACAACGGCTGCGTTCCAAATATTGTACTTTTTCTTTTTACTTTTAGTACATACTGCCTCTGCCTTTAGAAAGTATTTACTGCAAGTATGCATTCAATACTACTTCGTGAAAACATTGAGCCAGATAAGCATGCTGGCTTGCGTAAGGCAAAATGCGACCGGATGCAGCAGGACATAAATCTGAATTAACTAGCGAGCTGCTACGCCAACGCTGGCTCTTCAATTTACTGCTAAGTAATAAATCTAAGCTCATTAACAGGCTGGTGAGGTAGCATTGTTGAGCTTAATAAAAGGAGAAGCCAGTTATTGTATTGTACCTTTTTGTGGCTGGTATTGTTGTGACTCATTGTGGTAAAACGTGTTCCTTTAGACACCTTCTGTAGCAGGAACTACCACAGAATAGGTTTCGTGTACTTGGCCAGTTATTTTTCTGCTGTGATCATGACAAGATGGTCTTTAGTTGTATTTGTTTCAGCAGCAGTGTCTAGTTTTTGTTTCAGAATAACTATAATAACAATGGCTACATTTTGGTGGCTGAGCTTGTTTAGAAAGACTGGAAGAATGTGATTGACAATTAATAAACTATTCCATAAAGAAGTAAAAATTAATCAAATTGCACAACAATTAGTGTGGTTTTCATAATCATGAATTAAGTTTTAATAGTTTATTATTATTATTATTATTATTATTATTATTATTATTATTATTATACAGCCTCTGAAAGTGCATTTTACTCCATGTAACACAAAAATGTATGGAAATCAAAAGTATTAATGATCTTATATTGCATGTTCGTCGCTCCATCTATCTAATGTTGTACCTTGTTGTTTCTTAGGCGGGCGCCGAAATATCGACGGTGAACCCGGAGCAGTACTCGAAACGATTCTACGAGTTCATGTCCAACATCTTATCATAGATTCATCTCCCAGTCCAGCCAGTCACTTTCTGTCATAGATCTGTCAAATGCCACGCACTTATTTCTCTTCTCCTTCACATCAGTGTAGGTCCATCTCCCCCCCCTGCCTCTCTACGCCCAGAAAAAAAACAACAACTACCAGTGTCCTCCCACAGCCAGCATGAGTCTGGCAGGAAGGATGCACCGCGCCTGTTACACTGTCCCACACACACACACACACACACACACACCACCACCTCCCGGCTCCCTCATCTACTAGCTGACTGCAAAAACTCATGAAACCACTCACTGAATTCGGAATGACATCCCGATAATCTCCCTGTTCTTTTTTTTATTTTTATTTTTTATATAAATATTCTGCCTCCCGGTTCTCCTCAGCCACCTTATTAATCCTCACGCCAGCACGGAAACTGTCTCACTAATGCCTTGAACGAGTGTGTCAGCTTCAGCAGTTAACAGTCCGTCAGTACAGTCTCTTTGGTTTCTGTTCATGTCGTTGTTGTTGTTATAATTTCTATTAGACGCACACACACACACACGCGCGCAGATGTAAACAACTTGCACAGATACTGAATGGTCAGATTGCACGACAAACACTTTGACAGTTGCTATCAGGCTTCTCTCACAGTACCAACAAAAGAATCAAAAGCACTGCTGACAAATTGGAACAGGGGGTAAACACTTTAATATATAATGGTGTATTAAGTAAATTAATGCAATATCAAAAATGCATGGCTGATGTGTACATGAGACTCCACCAGTAAGTTGAAACATCAAACCACTGAACTTAGCATCTGAGTGTTATGACTTAAAAAAAAAACTGGAAAAAAAATTGGTGTTTAAATGTTACGTTGCCATATTGTTTTTGACTATTTTTGAAATTTTAACCGTGAGCTTGGTGGAGGTTGGTCAAAGAAAAAAAAATTCACATAAAAAGGGGAATTCTGCAGCAAATACTTGTTTTATTACCATAATGATCATTTTTATATCTTGTTTACATTAATGTAGCAATTTTGTTTGTATACAGTATTGTTTTGTTACCAACAGACATTAGAAAAAAAAAAAGTTACTTGAAAATGATTCATTGCATATTAAAGGGAGTTTTATCTTGTTTGGCTATGCTTATTTCTTCAGTGACTACCTCACTGTTTGACAAAGGTTTTTATTTAGGTCACAAGATAACTGAGCTATCTCCATGGCAACTGACCAAATGCCAGCTACAAAGGCGGACTGTGAGACGCAGTTAAAAACTTTGGAAACGGCTTGTAAGTAGACCCGGGGTTAGGCTTTTTGTCCGAACACCAGAAAACATCTCATTAAGCAATAGCATTTCCCTGAACAGTTAGGTTATTGATATAGACTTCAGGGGCTCCCAAGAGATTTTAGAAATACAGTACAGGTCAAACTCCATAAATGCAGTATTCTACACTTCCCATAATGCAACTTGGTATGGTATTTTTTTTCATTTCCATCCCCTGCATGGTCTGAGGGTTCAGAATTGACATCCGGACTGGCCCCTTTCAGGCTTTGCTTTAAAAGAATGTGAAATTGTCGCTACAAGTGTTCTCTGCAGTGTGACATGTCGAGAACCATTTAATGGTTTCTGTAATCTCACTATTATTTTTCAAACTGGTGTACAGTCCAAGCTTGCTGTCTTAAAAAGTGTAAAGAAAGGTTTACGTATTTTCAGGTCAGCCAACCTTGCTGATGTAGTCTTCCTTGAATTTTAATTTCAGTTGCCAAGCATGTCTTGGTTTGGTGCAGAACCGGTGAATTTTAACACAATATGTAACATGAATCAAAGATCTGAAAAGTGATGGCAATGTAGTGCAATTTCTTCCATAAATAATATCAGTCAAGTTCATTGTTTAAACCTATGTTCATTTATTTATTGAAGAAAAAAAAAAAAGACAGTACAAGCATTGTTTATCATTTGTATACAAAACATTTGTGTTTGAAGTGCAGGGAGAAACAGAAGCTCTAGTCCATCCTGGCTTTCAGGGTTCGTGTGGTGATCTTGTCTTTCTCACTGCAAGAGAAAAGAAAAGGCTGTCAATCCCTGAGCACCTGTCATTCCACCCAACCCTAACCTGTGCACACTGTACTTACATGACATGTACAACGACTCCCATACCAGACACTGCATCTCTATCAACGGCATTCAGCATCGCCTGTGAGATGGTCTCAAACAGGTCATCTGTTTCCTGCGTGATCAAACACATTTCTCAAATAAACGCTCAAGAATGTTTAACTGAAGAATACCTGAATTCTAGGTAGAACTCACATACATGCTATTATTAGCCTCTGCAGTGCAAATGGAATAAACAGACAATGCCAATAATAAAAGGCAGCAGATTTCTACTCCAAGTTGAACTTTGTGTTGAAATTGTCAGTTGTGTAAAGACAACATTGTGATCTCGTTAATCTCTGCGCCAAAAGTTAGAGCGGCCAATTTACCAATACTGTAAATGGAAGCTAGTAGTAACTACATTTACACAAGGTTTCTCATTATCATGCAAACATATACTTGCGATGGGCAATACTCATTTGCACATTAGGAAAGTGGTAGTAACTGTAAGGAACCTACATGCTTAACAGTGACCTCAAACTTCACTCACTACTTACCATGTCTGGCTCCCACAAAGACTCACACATGCCGTACATCTGCTCTGAGCAGGTGCCACTGACAACAAAGTCTTCTGTCACCATGGGGCAGCCAATCAAATCCAAGGAGCAGATGAATGGCTCTGAGGTTTTGGGATCAAGTCCGGCAATCACAGGCTCGATGTAGTATGGCCCAAACCTAATGAGAACATCACATATTAAACAGATATTCTTTTACCTTCCATGCAAGAATCTATGCCAACGGTATGCCAACGGTATGCCATCTGTCTGCAGCTTATAAATTGGACATGGATCTTGTTTAATGGGTCTATATTAACTTTGGTGCTCTCACCTCTTTTCATACAGCAGGTTGGACACCATGCTCATGAAGGTCTTGGGCTTGATCTGGCGACCCTCCTTCAGCTCATACAGGTTCAGTCTGAATTTCAGCCTCTGGGATCTACACAAAAAGCAAAGACACAATCATTCCCGCGTCATTTTACAACAGTTAATCTTTTTTTCAATAATCACAAAGAACGCAAATTTAACTTACTTCCTAGCGGTGACTAACCGCATAACTAAAACTACAGTTTCCCCTTAATACCAATACATAAGATCTGAAAGTAGTCAAAGTAATTTCGCAGATGTGTCATAGTCATACCCTGGTGGTGGAAGAACTGTTTTGCCACTTTGAGAGAAAGATGTGAAGGTTAAACACACTCACACTGTCTGAACATCAGTGGCCAGTCCAGCCAGCCCGATGTACAGCTTCTCTCCCATGGGGAAGATCTTCTGGAAATCCGTAGTGACCATCTGAGCCTGGATGCCAAATCTCCGGTCTGCTGCTATTGCCACACAGTTCTTCCCCCGCATGGCCATGACAGCCCCTCCGTTATAGGACATAATAGACTGGATGAAAAAGGACAAAAGTAAGTCAGAGTTTAAATGATAAATAGATCAATTGACAAAAAATATATCAGCAACCATTGTGATGAATTAATGTATTTTCAATTGTCATTTTCAGCTAAAAAGACAAAACATTTTTACACTTGTTCTGACATTTAACTGACCAAACAATCAATTGATGCATTACTATGAAGCAAAAAGAGGTTTAACAATACAAGAATCAAAAGGAAGAAAATAAGAACCTCAACCACAGGACCGAGGTATTTGTAAGAATACTGTAAATATATTCTGGAGGCCCATGTCTATTATACAAATAATGTAAAAAATATTTTTGTCTTCAAAATACATCCGGACTCAAATTGATTTCAATAGGTTTTAAATATAGCACGTGCCAATTTAATTAATCAGGGTTACATCTTAGCCACATGTGTAAGTAAGCATGTAGAAGTACTTTAAAATAACTCAAACTAACAAAATTAGTAATTGTAAAATAAAAGACGTAGTTATAGGACCAATGTCTAAAATATCGCGCGTGAGACTTTTCTAAATGCAATGATATTTAGATGAAAATCGTAACTGGGTTGTCACTGTTGTAACAGTAGCCTTACCTTATCCAATGCTAACTAGCTAGCGTTAGCCATATTTAGTTGGAGGTTCAGCTTATCAAGATGACACTGTTCAATCAACACGTTAGCTGATGTTGACACAGACGGAACAACAACGGTTTAAGCTTACCCTGGGTATACAATCAAGATGTCTTTAAAGTTAATTAAGGACAGCATGGTAAGCCACCGGCACTGTACACAACTCAACGTTAGCTCGTGTGCAGCTAACGTTGAGTTAGGTAGCTGTTTAGCTAAGTAACGTTATTTAGCTGCACAGCTATCGTCCGCTATTATAACAATGTATTCTTCTGAAACTATTTAATTAATTTATCGAACACAATAATTGTAACTTTACAGTCGTTTCGTTTCCAGAGAATTGTTAGCATGCTAGAGATGTGTATGCGCTAGCTGTTAGCTACGAACATTAGCTTAGCCAAGCTCTTGTAACTATTAGCCTTAACTAGTTAATTGGACGATTTTGACCTCAAACCCATTCGCATATGATCTGATGTATGGCGCTCTTACCATCGTGAAGGTGTTGCGGTATTTTCCTAAATGCTAGAAATTGCGAACTCCACTTCTTCTTCACTATTATGAACAGCTCGTTGGTTTCCAAGAGTGACTACACGATTTAGAAACACAGAGATCAGAGTAGCTTGATTCTTCTACTGCATCGCTTTCGCAGAAGCCTATTGGCTGGATGAATGGTACCGGGTGCAAAGAACGGTGCATGCATAGTTTGTTCGAGGCGTGTTAAAGTGAAATTAAAACCGGGAGGTGTCTTTCAATTTTTAAAGATGCTTTTTAATACTGGATTGTAATTTGCAGTGTTTGCATTCAATTGTTAGGCGTATTTTTATTGAATATTTGAAATAAGTTAGGTGCGTTTCCATCAACTGATTTGGAGCAAATTAACTCAGTTACAGGTGTAGTTGTCAGGAGTCGGCGCAATAGGCATGGCTGTAATACGGCAATACAGTTAGTAGAAGAAGTAGCGTTTGCAATACGAAAACAAAACAAGACGGCTGAGCAGTAACTAACCCCATCCATGTTCTAACCAGTGGCGGCTGGTGGAAGATTTTCTAGGTAGGGCTGTGCCACATCCAATCAATTTCAGCAAACATCCCAGTATGATTTAATGGAAAAAATTAACGTATCAAACACGCATTACTACTTTGCAGTTAAATATTTAACATTTATTCCAACATGAAAAAAACAGTAAATAACACTTAAACACATCAGGACATCTTATTTTTGTCCCCCTCACAAGCAATTCAGTATAATATAATAATCTGATGATCATCAGAAATCATTACATTCATAAATTCAAAGATAAACATTCAATCTGGTATCCATAGTAACGATGCCATCAGAACTCCATGGATAGAATGCTGTCAGGATGACATCACGGATTCTTTGCCTTTCATGTTGTTTTTGCCTTTCAAGCCTTTGAAGTACCTGACTTAATATTGAGTCTATATCCCTGTACATTTCCTCACACATTTCATAGCAGACATCAAGAAATACAGATTCAAAGTCTAAGTCTGATCTTTTTCTTTCCAGTCTCCTTCCGGATTCTTCGTCTTAGGTTAAAGGACTTCAATGTTTAATGTCTACCTG